CGGAAAAGCCTAAAGAAGGCTTATCCTAATTAGCTGTAGTTTACAGTTTATCGACATTTGAGGTTTCTCCTGTGCCATCAATAGTCTAACTATTTATTGAAATTAGTAATTAACGTTTTATCTAATATAATAATTAATAATTTAAATATGTTTATTTATTAAATTTAATAAGATAATTAATTATCAATTTTAAATTATCACTATTTACTAAAACCCTCTTTTTAATTTAATCTAATCTTCAAGTTCAATCATTTATTTTTAAATTTTAAATATTTAAATTTAATTGATTAAAAATTCAACTTTTACTGATAATTTGAAAACATCACTAGTCTTTCAAATTTTATAATGTTAAAAGAAAAAAACCCCTCTTTCTAATTGTTTAATGAAGAAAATCAACGGCCTTGATTCCGTCAAGTACGGAAAATTCTACAACCACACACAGTATATTGTAGCTCAAAGCTTAATTAAATTACGAGGGCTGCATCTGCCTGTATGCTCTAATGCTTACAAGAATTAATGCCCAGTTGGCAGTTGCCCACTACCTTGCTTCGTCAACAATTAAAGCAGAACTTCCTCTTTAGATTTAATTATCATTTTTCTTTTGCAACTAAGATTTTCTTATATTTAAAATCTTGAATGGCAAGTAGGTTGGCAATAATTTTTCTTTTAAAAAAATGGAAGTTATTGGAAAAGCGTGAATAATAAAACCAAAAATGATAGAACCAACTCATCGGACCTATTAATTCACCACTCAAATCTAAGAGCTTGAACTTAAAATAGGTTCTATTCCTTAAAAAAGAATTCCCCCTTCTCTAAATTTCCCTATGTTCAAAAATAAAACCAAAAATGATAGAACTATAATGTTTCTTTATTTTTTTTTAAGGAGTTTCTAAACGTGTATAATAAGAGTATAATTAATATATTTTTTTTGTATTAATTGGTATTGAAATAATTAACTTTATTAATAAATTTGTCACCTAATATAAATAAGGGGGGACTCATTTCTTGTTTTTAATTTTTAAAGTATAAAAATACCAGCATAGATGTCACATAATTAAAAAATCACTATTTAACAAACAATTTGTTAGTTCAATTAAAAGGAATTTAGTTTTTTTTTTTAAAGTAAAATCTTAAATTTGAGTATTGTGAATAGAGAAATGGTCATTATAAGAGTTTCACCCTTACAGGATTCAACCCAGCGTGATTTTAGATTAATCAAAATCCATTGCAACTTTTGAATATTAAAGGGTTTAGTACAAAAAAAATTGCCATGTAAGTTATTTGAATTTCAATCTCATTTCCATGTAATATTCTCAATTAAGGAAAATGAATTTTTGGACAAAAAAGTTGGCCATGTTAACCTTTGATTGGTAGAAGGATGAAGTTGATGTCAAAAAAATTAGAGTTTAAGGATAGTTTTGGTAGTTTATGAAGTTTAAGGACTAACTTGGTACAAAATTGAAAATTAAGGAACAAGATTGGTGATTTAATCAAGTTATAACACTAAAAAGGGTGGAACATGGCATATATATCTTTAAAACTTTGCATAAATTCCAAAAAAATTGGATATAATGATTTAAAAGGTGATTAAAAATACTTCAAAACCCAAGTTGTTGATTATATTCCAATATAATTGATTATAAAATCAAGAAATTTTTCTTCTTACGTTTTTAATGAGAAAAATCTCCTAGCATTGTAATTGATTATTGCATACATTTATTTCCTTGATGCATATTTCAATACTTATATCACAAACTTGACCTTTTCTTGATTTTTTTTTTTTTTTTGAAAAAGTTTGGAACCAAACACACCCTTAATTAAAATTCCTTAACTTGACTTTTTATTGCATTTGTTAGCAACAACAACAAGAAGGCTTAACCCCTCCATAAGCCCTCCTAGTGTTTGCCTTTGAGATCATTAGTCCTTCAACATGCATTTTATATACTTTAACTCTTTAAGTGTTACATTATTATTATAATTAGTTTAAAATTGACAAATTCTCATTATATGAGTCATATGGTTGTTTCTACTTTGTTATTCTATTCTCTTTAATGTTATGCTAGTATAAATATAATTACATGGCTCAATGAGGTAATTTTGTTTATTTTAAATCAATTATAATAATAACATAAAGTTTATAAATTAAAATAAATAAAAAATATATTAAGAGATTAATAATTTTAAAGACAAATAGTTGGATGGCTAATAGGGTTATGCACAATAACAAGTGTTCTGGCCTCCACTACACATGGAAGTTTGGGTCAAAAAGTACCACACATAAAAGGGTTAGATAATCTTTTGGGTTTTAAATTTAAAAGTTTAATATTACAAGTTGGGTTATTGAACCCATTCCCTTGTTATTTTTTTTTTTTTTTGAGAAAAAGAAAAACAGGTTACCAGAATTGGTAGCTTTTAATTGGATGATGCCAGCTGTGATTGATGTTGACTATGGAAGAAGAGAGAAGTGAGTACATTAAAAATGAGGCCGGGGTCCACCTTATTCTAGTAGTGGTTTAAAAGATAAAACTTACAAATTAATGGTGACTTGTGAGTGGTGGCAACAAAGTCAGTTGCCCACCAAAGCATTTCCCAAAAAACAAAGTCAGTTGCGCAGGAGGGTGAAAGCCAACTTCAAATTCGCAATGATAAAAATGTAAATGTGTTATGTAGTCTGATTTATATTGTATTATATTGTATAAATTTAATTATTAAATTATTAAATTTTTTAAATATGAAATTTTTTTTAATTTAATGATTAATTTTTTATAGTTTAACACTTATTTAAAATAGCCAACCGAGCCTGTGGCCAAATAGGATGGCCTCCAAGTTTTAGGGCTTGGGTGAAGGTAAAGGTCAGGGCTTCGAGCTCTGCCACTGTCGTGAACTCCACAAACTTGTGATCTAATGGTCACGCGCCTCAAATGAGGGGGTGAAAGTTTCACTTTCCTGAAAAAATTCCAGCTGCTAACAAACTAACTCTACTAACTTCCTAACCATCTACCTGGTAAAAAAAAAAAAACACTTATTTAAAATAAAATATTAAAAAATATTTTTTAATTTAAATTATTTTAAATTATAAAATATTAATTTTTATTAAAAAACTTTTTAATATTAAAGACCTGGTTTTATTTTACTGTTTATTTATTTTTTTTTGAATATATTTGCAAGGGGCGAGTTTCGAATCCAACTCGGGGGAGAGAGGAATGCACCGGGTGACTATTGCCACTAGACCTTAAGGGTCGGGTGTTATTTTACTGTTTAAATAATAAAATAAAATTTCACAAAATATATAAAATGCAATTTTTATGCAACATTTTTATCCAAAATCCATACTACCTTTTAGCAAGTTTGAAGTTGGATATCACTCTTTCTTCTAGGAGTCAACTTGCCGCTGCCACCATTGAAATGCAACTATCTGTTTTGTCATACAACTTAAATATGAATAAATTATTGATCCAAATAGTAAGGGTCCTAAGGGAATATGTTCCTTTGCAACCTCCGCCAAATAAACCCAAAACAATAGTTCTTTAATGGCTTTTTGGTAGATGTGAATACTTTAATATTGTTTGTGTTATATTCCATCTAGGCCGAGGTGTAGACCTCCCCAGAAAGAAACACACCAAAATCTTAACACCAAATTCTTCCCAAAACAAGCTCTGATGAGTCAGAAGGTGATTCCAGCAACATCAAATGTCTGTTCCCTCTTTGGAACATTGAAAAACTAAAAATTTTCAAAAAATGGTTAGTTTCCCAAAATGCACACCCTCTCTCTCTTTCTATCTGATCAATCCTTTCATTCCTTAACTTCTTTTTTTTCTATCTGGGTTATGATCAAATTACCCATCTTTGCTCTTAATTTCTCTCTTTCTTTTCATAATTGAGAAACTACCTCACTGAGGCTAGTTTGCTTTTGTGGGTTTCCTGTGAAATGAAAGTTACTTTAGTGGATTCTTATCTTGTGTAGAAGTGTTTTGTATTCTTCTGTGGCAGTCATTTGTCATTCTGCATGTTACTTTTCTTTTCTGAAGTGTTTCTTCACGGCACCTGTGAGTTCTGTACCTTCTGTAACCTCCTTCATACCCATTTGGACCATTTCTATTCAAATTTAAAAGGTTTATCTTTTTTCGAACGTTTTTCCTCCTCTTTTTTTGGCCTACAATATCTCTGCAATCAGTTTTTCTTTCGTCTGAAGGATTATCTCTGTAACTGAAATGGCACAGCAGATATTTTCTGTTTTTTTCATATCTTTTCCTGAATTTGGATTTTTTTTTTTTCATGTTTAGTGTATTTTCTTGCCTAAATTCTAATTAAAATTTGTTTCTTTTACAGTTTACAGGAAGACAGAAGTGGACCACGAGGATGAGAGTCTGAGAGTGACAGATTATATGAAATTGTGAATTTTCTTACTCCTAGTGGTAGTAGTTGGGGATAAGCTCACACGTTTCTACGGTGAAATTGGTAGAAAGTAGCATATAATTTCTGGTGATTCTAATTGTAAAGAAGAAAGTCAGGAAAATGGGTTTCTGTGAGTTTTTCC